TGTTAATACGTGCTAACCACAGCACAGAAGCACTCAGAAACCTCCTTACGGGAAAAGAAGGGGACACATATTCCCATTTCAGTCAACGCTAGAAGTTGCTGAAGTGCTTTTTTTCCCCTGTTTTTCTTGGGCTTGTCTTTTACCTTTACTTTTCTTTGTAGATCTCACTGATTGTAGTGGGCTGGCAAACAAGGTCTATTTAGTTAAAACTGCTGGGATTCAATTAAGGGAAGTTTTTCTTTACCTTTGCTGTAATTTTACGATCCATTAGTAGGTAAATCCTCTCCTTTAGTAGTCTGTTAATAAACAAGCTTCAAGCCATACATGAAAAGTCCATTGTATTTTATTTCCCATAGTGCTGCCTCTCTGTTGGGGAACTTCTGGCTAGATAATTAAGTTAGAAAGGACTCCGCTCCCAAACTATTAATCTAAGTCCCCAGAACTCAGACACAGCACTTAGAATCATAGAAAATCTTGAGTTGGAAGGGACCCATAAGGATCATCGAGTTCAACTCCTAACTTGTTTCATGTATGCCTATTCCAAAAGATATGCCACTTAAAGAAGGATCTTAACCTTTGTTCTCAAAGGATTCAAGGCTTCTGTGAACAACCTTGTGCTTTTAAAGTACTCCTGTTGCTGGTGCCAAAATCTTGAGGTTCTCCTCTGCTCGCCTCTCGGGTGTTAGCTACTGAGTAACTTCCAAAATCAAAGACCTGTGGAAACTACTGAATAAAAGAAAGCTATTGAGGTTTTCTATGTTTACTTAGCCCTGTACAGGTTTATTCTCATCTGCCTGGGCTGGTTGCCTTCAATAGAAATAATTGAAGTAGAACATCTACGAACAACAGAATTCTTGTCTTGGTGTTCAACTGCATGTACTCGCCTTATCTTGGTATGTTCAAGCTTGGATCTTTGCCTCTAGGAAATCTGATTGGTGTCCAAAGATACTGTCCAAGAAACTGTCAGGGATCTATGCCAATCTAGCTGTGCTGGCCATGCAACATCGAGGCAAGATGTAGCTGGCCCACTGGCCTGTGTGTGAAGGAAGAGGTGGGGTGGTGTTCTCAGGCAGCTCTTAAGAGCTTTCTCTCTCTGGTACTTCATAAGGAAGTTGAAACTTTCTACATTGTCTGTTCTGTATGAAGGACAGCAGGAGCATGTTTCCTAGCCTCGTGCCCAGCTAGCCCCTAAGTGTCAGCTCATTCATAGAAATTCCTTGCAGATACTTAATGGGGAGAAATAAGGGTGACCTGTCTGCTTCATAGTAAACAAATGTTGTTTACTTGCTTTAGGAGATGTGAATAATAAATGGACCATCTAAGATGTGTTAGAATAATTGTCTGAAAGGCAGTGTTTGATATTGACAGTACTAGGCAAGGCTGTGCTGTATGTAACTGTGGTGCTAAGCTGTGTCTTTGAATAGATGCCCAGGACTTTGGGGAAGGCCTTCCTGCACATTGGGGAGGTGGCTGCCTGTTTTGCAGCATTTCTAGCTCTTGAATTCTAGGAAGCTCACAGACAGATAAAGGGACTTCAGCAACATCTGTACTTAACTATCTCACTACATTCCAAGATTTTAGGTAGTTGCATATTGTTGAAGTTCTGATGGCTTTTGGAGGGGTGTATTCTCAGAACGGTGTGAGCTTAGAGAGCTTTCTGAAGAAAGCTAGTCGTGAGCCAGAGAGAGGGGAAGAACTTTCTGTGAAGTCTTCAGAAAGGGCAAGAATCCAATGCCAGACAGCTTTGGTTTGGAAAGAGCTAGTGATACTCTTTTCTGTCTGGGAAGACTGAGCTCGGAGATGGAAGCTAAATCTTACATCCTGACATGACTGCACACAGAGCTTGTACCCTGCATGCATGAATTTGTTTCAGATATCACCTGGGTTCACAGACTGCACTGGGACAAGAGCAAAGAGGCATTTCAAAGATGACACTATAGCAGCAAAACAGGCAGCCAGCAATTCAGTACTTGCTGTTACTCCAATATCCCTTCTTGGGAGAGGTATCTGGGTGATACCAAAGAAATCTGCGTGCTCCCAGGCTCTTCCTTAGTTTCCTGGCCAGGGCAGATCAGGAGGCAGCACTGAGTTCCTCACCTCTCTGGTCCTTCCTGAAAGCATTGCCCAGCCCCATAGCAAACATATCATGAATCATTCATCTTTAATAGATTATGCAAATTGAGGACATCAGATCAATGAAGATCAATAACTGCAACCATTTAATTGCCAGCAAAAACATTTTAAGAATGAGCATTATCTGAAGTCCTTTCTTGGGTAATGGCACCATTAATCCAAACATTGGATCTTGGCCTAAGCGTAGAGGAAAAATTCTCCACCCCTCTTCCCCTGCTGCCTTCCAGGGTGTTGAGGGTTTTTTTCCCTTTTCATTTCCAGTTTCTGAGTTTCCCCATCATTACCACCAGTGAACAGCTCCCAATGCTAATAGTTCTGCTTTTGTTACTCTGCGCTGATTGAAATGTCGCATACAGATTGAGATGTTAGTGCTAAGTTGCCACCTGGGAATGTCAAGCTGGGTCTGAAATGAACTTTTCTCACTCTTGGATCCAGATGGATCAGATGGGGATGTTCTTGAGCTGAGCTGGGAGTGTTGCAGGGAACAGAGTGGGGATGGCACAGGGTTGGGGGGGACATGAAGAAGATTTTCTGCCTCAGCCCACAGCCTCTTCTGTGAGGCCAAATCTGTCTCCTACTGTCCCCTTGTGAGACTCCTGTCCAAAGCTTGTGCAGTGTCCTGAGCCTTCAGAAATTCTGCTCTCATGTTAATGGACTGGAATTCACCATCTTCACTCAGGCAGAAGGACTAAAAAGAATTATTTAATGGCCCCTTTGAATCTTAAACTCTGATTTTAGGTACCTCACCTTTACATCCAGTTATGGGGATCTGCCTTCCATGAAGGAAGGACAATACTACTCTCCTACTGTCTTTGGCCCCCAGACAGGAAAGTATTTCCTGTAAGAGATGTGGATCTGCTAAATGGTAGATGGACACCAGCTGAGTTTTGTCTTGCATATAGAATCATAGAATCGTTTAGGTTGGAAAATACCTTTAAGATCATCAAGTCCAACCATTAACCTAGCGCTGCCAAGCCCACCACTAAACCATGTCCCTAAGCACTGCATCTGCACGTTTTTTAAATACCTCCAGGGATGGGGACTCAACCACTTCCCTGGGCAGCCTGTTCCAGTGCCTGACTACCCTTTTGGTGAAGAAATTTTTCCTAATATCCAACCTGAACCTCCCCTGGTGCAGCTTGAGGCCGTTTCCTCTCGTCCTATCCCTTGTTACTAGGGAGAAGAGGCTCCTCACAAGACTTGTTCTCTAGACCCTTCACCAACTTCGTTGCCCTTCTCTGGACACGCTCCAGCACCTCGATGTCCTTCTTGTAGTGAGGGGCCCAAAACTGAACACGGTACTTGAGGTGCGACCTCACCAGTGCCAAGTACAGGGGGACGATCACTTCCCTGGTCCTGCTGGCCAGCAGATATATGCAAATACAAAGACAGGTGGAACAATTTTGCCACAGCTGAGCCATTTTTTTCTGGTTGGCTAAGAAACTGCATGGCTACAAGGATCCTGGATCAAGCCTAATAGCAGTAAAAGCCACAGAAAAAGTCTGGGGATATCACACTATCTAGACACTCCCTAAATATGCAGTTCACCTACCCATGGTTCTCCATGACATTTTGCAGACCTCACATTGGATCTACTCTGTATTTGGGGTAACTGTTACTAATCCTGCCCGGTCCCAAAGTTCTGGTAGCCAGAAGTTGCATGTAATAATATGCCTTTGCACAGTGTTTGCTGAACAAGCAATGACTGCCTGCCTCAACCATGAGCTGCTTTGGCCTCAGGGGCTATTAGCTGGGGCTTCTGCAAGAAAAAGTTGAGATACAAACTCCAGTGCTCTTGATTCTGTGCCATCAGAGGACAGCTTTTCGGCCAAGAGGCAGCAGCTCCTTCCCTTGCTAACAGGACTTAGACCTTTGTCATGAGTTATTTCTCAACTTAACACTGCAAGGTTTCTAGAGGGACCGCAGCAGTAGGGCAAGGGGGATATACCAAACTGGGGCGAGTCACCTGGGCCTTGCCAGCTGCTCTAGCCACCCAGGAGGAGATGTGCAAATCTGTGGTGGCTGTGTGAGCAGGGTGCAGTGGAAACTAAAGCCTGAGAAGAAGGGCTGTGGCACCAGAATATCTCCTTATGGCTCTAGACACACACAGGGCAGGCAGTCTAACACTAGTATGGTGTGCCTCGCAGCCCCAGGACAACCCCGTGCCGCTCAGGTCCTGCACGTGCCACCAGCAAAGAGAAAGTTTCTGTGGAGCAGCTGCTGCAGAAATTGCCTCCTACTTCTGTGCATCCTGATTCCTCTACTGTCTTGCACTTTCTCTCATTTCCTACTCTCCCAGTCACACCTAAGTTTAATGTGCCCACACAGGAGGGAAGGGGGAAGGCTGTGAACAAATTTCTTTTGCCAGCTGCTGTTAGAGACTCATGGGCTTAAGGAAGAGGGAGTTTAGCAGTCACAGTTCAGCAGACCTCAGTATTTAGTTTGCAAATGCCAGGGCTGAATAAAACTTAAATTATTATCTCCCCCTGAGATAATCAAGTGTAGATCATGGGTAAGCCACGACCCTCTTGTTCTCAGACACAAAGGAAAAAAAACACAGTGTGTATTTGGACATACCTGTCCTCCACCAACATCCATCCCTAAGTCCCATCTGGGCACACAAGTTCCCGATTCGCGCCTGGGTTTGCCTGTCTTTCAGTCACACCTGGGCACCTCTAGGTGTACCCAAAACCACCAATACTCTAAATTTCAAGCTTCTCTTGAGCCCTTACATCCTCCACAGTCTTTCTGTCTCTTTCCATGTTTGCCACAGAGGGATATCTTGCATTAGCAGAAAAAGCAGAAGCTAATGGTGATGAGGGAAATAAATAAAAAGCTTGGTTCTGCTGTTTGGTCAGGCAGCTTACCGGTCACCACAGGGTACGTCTGGGGTCCTGACACATTTGTCCCCAGGTCTGGGTTAGCAGAGGTGGATAGACTTGATTTGACTTCATCGAGACCAGGGGTCAGAGCTGGGAGGGAGTACTCATTACCCTGGGGAAGAGAGGAGAAAGACAGCTTGCTATTGATGTGCCGGGAGAAAGGGAAGGGTGTACAGATGGGGGGGAGGAAGAGGAGAGATGCAAACTCCTGCACAGATGGAAGAGGAGGAGGAGGAGGAAATGGAGAAGATGAAGTGACAAGAGGGTTGGGGGGGGCTCCTAGGATGAGCTATCCCACCCTCCTGTGTGCCGCTGTGAAGGGGAAGAGGGGTGAGGCCGGGTGCAGGATCTGGCCTGTTATCTGTCGTACGACTGAGCCTTCGTTCGGTGCTGTGGGGACGGGGATGGCTGCCTGTGCCAGCCCAGGGGAGAAGAAACGGGAAATCCACGTCCCCTCCTCTTGGCTGAGCAGAGGCGGGAGGTGTTTGCCCTGGTGACAAGGACAGCTGGGGCAGAGGACTGCAATGACATGACTGGGACAGGTGGGCTGTAGGAAGCGGCCAGTGTTGGCCCACTGTAGCCAGGCTCTTTGCTGAGTCGTCTGCCTCCCCTCCGCTGTTACCTCTGTCCTAGCTCTTTAAAAACAAACAAAGAAGCCTCATCCCCTGCCTCTGTCACTCTGTGCATTGGGGTATGAAATTGGGGAGGGGGGAGCCACATGGCTAACAGAAGGGTGGGAGGGGGAGAGCCATTGAATCTGAAAGGGTGTCCTGTCCGAAAGGCTCTGGTAATTGCCTTTTTATTGTGGCAGCCTCCGGACCAGACGCGGGAGCTGGAGAAACCGGGAAGGCTACAAAACAGCAGGAAAAGTTGCTCTGATTAATATTACGTTAAATTAAAACTGATTTTCTGCTCTTTCTGCTCTGTTTTTTTCCATGCGCTTCCCCAACCCCCTCCCCACATCTCCCCCTCCTCCAGTGGGCTCCCTGCACGCTGCCCCCTCCCCGCCCCTATCCCTGCTTGGCTAGGACTGCCTAGTCATTTCCAATTCCTTCTCGTATTGATCTTCCTGTAGAAATCAGTTTTGTAATTAGCTGCAAATTAGGCCTTCTACTGGGGGTGAGCCTGCCCCCTGATTTATCACCAGAGTAATTCGCTGTGATCGGAGAGAAATTAAAATGAACTCAATTAGGCTTCGGATTTGCTTTATGGGCCCTGCTCAGAGTTTCAGGGGGAAAAATGACTGTGCTGGTGCTTAATAGTCTAATGAAAGTAAATAAAGGTTATTCATTGTAATAAACCCAGGGACTCTGGGATGAAGGGAGTCCACAGCCAGCCTCTCCTTCTCTTCCTTTGTTGGTTTATGGCTTGGGGCGGTTTAAAACGACTTTTGATTTTCATTTTATTAAGACAAACAGCTTTTGGGATAAAAGGCCGGGGAAGCGGGGGAGTAAAGGAAAGTGGGGGCAGAGCTGCAGAAGTGCGGAAAACTAGGTTGGAGATGGGAGTCAAGTCTCAGCTTTGGGCCATGAAGGAAAGTGCTCCATTAAAGCCCGAGCCTGTGGCACACTGGTGACCGGCATGATCTGAGAGTGCAGGAGTTTCTGTGCAGTGCTGCGTGCCGGTGAACATGCATGGCAGTGTTTGCATGTTCATGGCAAGAACATGCCCTCATACCTGCAGATGTGTGTGCAGAGGGAAATGTGGACATAGAGATTTAGGGACAACACCGTGTGCGTGTATACGGCAAGATCACGAGAGGAGGTGGAGCTCACGTATACACGTGCATCAGCACAGTGATATATTTACAACTAGAAGGTGCTGTAAAATGTAAATGTGATGTATGTGCAATAACAGGTCAGTGTGAGAACAAGGTGTGAAGAGGGGGAGAGTGATTTTGGTGAGGGGATCTCCCTGCCATCATCCTATGGGTGCCTGTGGGTCCCCATTACCAGGCCGGGCCCTCACCTGCTCAGATTTGATGTGCTCTGATGTTTGAAAGACGTCAGGGTAAGAAGGACGCTCAAAAACTCGATCTAAAGCTTCCAGCTGCTGCTGGGTGAAAGTGTCGCCACGAAGGTGCTTCCGCAAACTGTCCACGCTGCTCTGGGAATCTCCGTTGGGAACTGAGCCCTCGGATACATCTGCAGGGCACAGACAGAGAAAACAGGGAGTTAGCACCACCCTGGCTCGGATCAGCAAGGGATGTGGGACAAGGACAGAGCGGGGCCCTCTGCCTCCACCCAGGGAGCTGTGCCACTCCTGCGGGAAGGGGAGGCTGCAGGGACCCGAGGGAAGACCCCTCCTGTCTGCTGGAGCAGCCGGGCTGCTCCCGTGGGCTCCTTGGGACTATCCTGCCCAGGGTGAGTGAGGCTGTGGAGAATGGTGCTCGGCTCAGAGATGAGTTTCGGTTCCGCTGATTTTCAGTGTTAAAAATTGCCAAATCTCTGTTGCTGAGCATAAAATGGGAGCAAAGCACAGCGATTAGCATCGCTAGAAGGCTACTGGAGAGGCAGCTCACAGAGAAACCAGAGTGCTGAGGATGGACCTGTGCTGGAGAGGGCTGAGGAAGCCTGGAATGGAGAAAGGGCTTTCTGACAGCTTGGAAGGGAATAAGTCTCTCTTGTAGCTCCCCAGTCCCAACAGAAGTTATATCGCTGTTAGGATTTCCTTCTCATCTCATCTTGTCCTGTCATACCCCAGATGAGCCTTTCATCCCCCTCAGATAACAGGAATGATCCTGTTTCTGAGTCCATGTTTCACCAGAGACGAGTCTCTCGCTGTGGAATGTCTGTCCCATCCAACATACGTTGATTTCTGTTATGATCTCTGTCCCATTCTCCTACATGTAGCTCGTAATTTATCATAACCCGTATCTCTGTTATAAAACTCCTTCCAAAATGAGATGAATCTTTGTCTGTGTCAGTCCCCCTTCCTATCCAAAATGAATTATTGTATTACAAAACCTAGTCCTACTCAGTGGGAATCGGCCTTCCTGGGAATCCTTTGTTCTTACTAGGAAAAAAGGCTTTTTCTGGTAAAAGCATCACCAGAAGTGCATCTCTGTCCCTGCAACAGCCCTCTGACACAGTCCAATCTCACTGCAGTGCCTCCTGCTGCGTTCCAGGTGTCTCTATCTCTGTTGTGCCATCCCACATCTCTCACAGCCCACTCATCCCCTCCGAGGTGAGTCCATTATAAATGCCCTGCCCCATCCAAAGTGAATCTTTCCCTGTGATAAACCATCTTATCACCCACCTGTTTTTGGTGTTCTGTTTTTTTTTTTTTTCCCTGTTATCCCCCAACTCAAATGAGGTGCATTTATCTCAGTTATAACCCCTTTTTATCTGAAGTGAGTGAGTCTCCTGCTATTAGCATCTGTCACGTCCAAGGTGAGTCTGTCTGTTATAACCTCCTGTCCCAGCTGAAGTGAATCTTCCTTTGTCATAATCCCTCATCTCATCTGAGGCAAGTCTGCTCATTATAATCTTCTCCAACTGTGCTGAGTATCTTTCTGCTGTCACCTCTCAGCCTAACTTTGGTGAGACTGGTTATAATCCCCTGTCTCATCCATGCTGATATACCTCCATACCCTTCATGCTGAATCTCTGCCTACTGTGGTTCATCAGATACAAGTCTGTCATATCACCCTGTCTAACCTAAGATCAGGTTCTCCCTCTTACGCTGTGATTACCTTCCTGCTTTTTCACTATTATTCCTCATACTTCAGCCTTTCTGGGTGGCTTCCAGTCAGTGAATCTCAGAAACTTGCTGTCTGTCAAGAAAGTGATTGAGGGATCTGTATAGACCTTTTCCCTCCTCCACGCGATTGCAACTGTACTCATGGGCAGACGATGCTTCCAGGAGCCTGGAGTAGCATTCACTGTGCAATGGCCAGAACCATGCCACTCCGCTGCTTCATCTTTTAGCTCATGGATGATGCCAAGATGGGTATTTTCCTGGCACAGTTAATGCCCAACTGGTGGCCCGGAGTTATAACTGAGCCTGCTGCCTTCTGGCTATGAGATATATCCGTTTATAGGTGATTATACGATATGATATAATCAATAGTACATTATATACAGTAACGTAGTACAGTACCACTCGCAAGACCATAGAAAATATTACATATTGATTTGTCCCAGCCAGCAGCCTTCCCTCGCGCAGCCCCTTCTCTCTTTCTTTTCCACCCCTAGCCAGAGCAGGGCTCTTTACTGGCACTGATCCCTGGCATTTTCTCTTCTCCTCGGGCATTTTTGCACAAGGGAAAATTCTCAAGTTCCTGAAAGCTGGAGTTCCTGACAGATTTGACTAAGAGGAAACAAAGCGAAGACCAGGCTTGGTGGACTGCACACTGCATGTGTCAGTGCAGTCTTCGTGTTTTAGATGGACTGGGCTGTTACTGCAGGGGGTAGCTTTCAGGAGGACTAGGGTGGCTCGAGGCTCATGCTCCCAGTTCCAGTAGGCACATCTCTCTGGTCCTCCCTGCAGAAAGCTGGCACAGAACTCCTGGGTCCAGGCTCGGAAAAAAAAAATGTGTGTTTCTGTATCAGCGCTTCTTTCAACCTGCCTGCAGCCTGTGAAGCTGTTTGCCTTTGAGGATTTTTCCACATGTGTCAGTCAGTGTGCATGAGTGTGCACACCATGATGCTAATACACGTAGGTATTTTTGCAGTAGATCATTATTCTGGTGTTCTTTAGATTCTGTATCACCATACATGCCTGAGCAGCTGTCTGTCTGCAGCGGCTGGTTTAGGCTATATTTGATTTTCAAGGATGGCAGCCCTACACTATGCGTGGTATTTTGGTGTGAGTGGACAGGTGTTCATATATACAGTAAAACTTCCATTGATTGTCATTAAACCGGATTTTACCCTTAGCCCTGGGTGGTTACACAGGCTAGGGCACACATGCACATGTATTTGCAATTCCTGTCTGCCTGCAGAGCCCTGTGCACGCGTGTCTCCCGTGTGTGCACAGGCCATGCCTTTGTGTGAAGAAGCTGAAACCACAGCTTTCCCAAGTCACTGTAGGACTCTCTTTTCCTTCATTTATTCAGGAGCCCTTCAGATCTTGACAAATCTGTCACTCTAAATTTGCGAGAGATTATGGTGCTCTCTCCCTAGCACGGAGAGAGGTGATATATGATATCTGCTGCCCCTATTGATTGCCTGATCTGGTGGCAGAGGGCTGGCGAAATGAACTTGAAATGAACATCATGCCTCAACTCATTGTGCGTATAATACACTACTTAATCCCACATTTTTCAGCCGCTATGGAATTCAATTGATCAATCATGTCCCTCTGATAGTACTGTTTTAGGGGTTATTGCTGCTCTGCTCACTGACCTTTTTATTTATTTATTTATTTGTGTCAGCGTGTGTGCATGTGCACGTAAGTGCATATGTGTATTTGGGAAACTCAGGACCAGCTGATAAGAAAGGACCTGTATAGTCAGTGGGAAATGAAATAAAAGGATGAAGGGAGGAGAAAGGGAAGGAATGGGGTTAGATAAGAAATCAGAATGACCAAAGCAAGGAAATAGATAGGGAGAGGTGGAAAAGTTGTAAGGAGAAAGGCAATGCTTTAGTTTAGGTGGGAGTTCTGGATATGGGGGGTGGGGAGGGCACTCTGCCATGGCCTAGGCTTTAAAATCTACAAAAGAAAAGAAACTTTTGACAGAGGCCTGTAGGCTACCTCGAGGTGGACCTTGTCTAAACAGCTTGCAGTAGTGTTGGACTTAATGGTAGGGCACACAAATCCTAAACTTCACAGAGCAATAATATGAGCTGTGCATATGGATTTTACTTACGAAGCAGAGAAAGTTTAACAGAGATGATCCTGAAAGATTTATATGTCTTGTGTTGCTAACACCAAGACATTCACAGTCACGGATCATTATATTTTCTTCAAAACCAAAGGACTGTAAATCCCCTGTGTTTGTTTTCTGGTGTCAAAACCTATAGAGGATGCATTTTCATTTTTTCCCCAAAACTGCAAGGGACAGACACTTATCTCTGGTTTTAGATCAAAGTTGCTGTTCTCATCTAAGCATATGACTCTGTGAGCTCGACTATCAGGAGAAGCTTCAAATACTGTAATACACGAAGTATGAGAGCTGACAATTGTGTGGGTGTGAGCAAACGTGGCAGTAAGGAGGACTTTGGGGAAGAGATGGAGCCCATCAAAGGGCTGTGGGTGAAAGCGAAGGGAGGGCTCATGGGGAAAATTTGAGTTGGAAGAGACTAGCAGATCCCATGAGGAACGGCACTCTGGTGGGCAACAGTCACTTCAGCTGATGAAGAACAGTGCTAGGAGTAAAAGCTTAAGGGATGGGGCTTTGCTAAGAAAGCAGCTCTTGGAAGGGGTGCTGTGGTGAAGCAAGGCTTCAGCTGCAGGATGAGTCTGGGGATGCCACCTAGGTAACTGCGCTGGCTGTACCATTAGGAAGCATCATCACCTTTCCCAGTTCCCTTTTTACTGGCGAGGGAAACTGTGGTACTGTGACGCAGGGACACCTCTCTCTTTAATCAGAAAGATCTTAACAAACAGCTTAAGAGGTGAACCATGGCCTCGGTCACTGTGTCCCTCACAAGAGCACACAGTTGCTGTCAGCGTGATCAGGACTGGCCTTGCACGTGTGACAGGAAACATCTCTCCTCCCGAGGGGCCGCCGAGGGAGCGCACGCAGCCAATGTTCAGCGTAAACCTTCGACATAAGACACAGAAATGCTCCACGGGTGTCACAGAAGTATCCTGACAGATAACAAGGAAATGCTGTGCCAGAGGACACAGGAACAACCTTAACTACATCTGACACAGGGAATATGCCCGTTAAATAGCTCCAGAACAGAGAGACATTCCCAGGTCTGGAAGCCACAAAGACACCATCATGTACAAGTAGCACAAAGCAGCGTAATACAGTTACCTCCCTGGCTACGGGTGACAGAGAGCACCCTTGCTCAGGGTCGGACAGGGCTACCTCAACAAGTAATTCAGAAATATTGCTGACATAGGAAGACCTTTGTGGCACAGTAACGTGTAGGAGGGTCATGAGAAGCTGTGCAGCTGGCACACGAACATGGAGATACTGTTCTCTTTTGGGGCAGGGGCTATTACCACCCCGTGACATGTCTGCCCACTG